TTATTTTCTTTCAACACTTTTAAAAATCTCATTCTATGGTCTACTGCCTTCCATCATTTCTATTGACAAGTCAGCTGTCAGGACCATTCTTGTTCTTTTGAAGGTAATACATCTTTTTTAGCTTTTAATGGTTTTTTTTAAAGTTGTCTTTGTTTTTAGTATCTACAGTATAATATGTCTAAGTATGATATTTCTATTTAGAAGTTCTTGGAGTTTTTATTAATGGGTAGCTTATAGTCTTTTGTCAATTTCAGAAAAATATTATCATTTCTTTGCTAAATATTCCTTCTGTTACTTTTCTCTCTAAACATTATGTGTTTTTTTGTTTTTACTTTTCTGATTTGCTTTTTCCAGTGTTTTAGCTATCCATATTTCTTTTTTTTGTTTTTTGTTTTTCGAGACAGTTTTCTCTGTAGCTTTGAAGCCTGTCCTGGAACTCGTTCTGTAGACCAGGCTGGCCTCAAACTCACAGACATCCACCTGCCTTTGCCTCCTGAGTACTGGGATTAAAGGTGTGTGCCACCACTGCCCAGCACTCTCCATATTTCTGTCTGATAATTTCTTTCAACTTACTTTCCAGTTCACTCATATTCTCTTCAGTGACCGCCAACTCTTTGCTAAACATAACCATTAAGACTTTTTAGTTGCATGTAGATTTTGCTGTAAGATTTCCAGTTATTTCTGCTCTATGAATTCTGGTTCTTCGGTGAAATTCCCTTTGTCACCTTTATCCTTTGGTAAAATCTGTACAGGTCTGCTTTGTTTGTTTGTTCGTTTGTTTTGAGACAGACTCTGACACCTTGCTCTCGCTTGTTTGCAACTCTCTAAGTAGACCAGACTAACCTCAAATCAGAGATCCAAGCGGTGGGATTAAAGAGGGGGTAATACATACACCGTGGGTTACCCCCACGCTCACATACACCATGGGGTACCACCATGCTGACATACAGCGTTGTTCCTTGAACATAACGCTTGATAACTCTATGTATAGTTTATCTGTAGACCTAGTTTTAGCTACTTCATCCCCACATAGGGTTGCAATGTCTAGCAATGGGTGGTTAATACTGAACTGTGTGAATAGTTATCTCTGGGTGAGGACTGGGTGATGCTGCTTTTCTCCCAAGTAGTAGTACCTACTCTGTGGCAAATAGTTTCCTGGGAAAATAAAAAAAACTTCTCACCCCAGATAGGGAACCCACAATAGACCACCAAAGTCCAACCTGGTGAACCAATGCATTTTACTGTGGTTACCTACAGGAGTATGGGTAAGGGATTGGTTACTTACAGGAACATAAATAACTCAAAGACAGCTGCAGCAACAAAACCCACCCCAGCATGGGTGACAGCCTACAAAACCTGGGAGCCTGGAGCACCCTTCCCAGCCTCCAAGCAGCTCGACAGGCCGGAGAGTGTCTTGCCCAGGTGCCTCACTTGACCTGAAGCTCTTCCAGGCAGCTGTTCTTGTTCTGGAGTCTTCTTTGTGATTTCCCCCCTCAGTCTTCCTTGCAGCTGCTTCCTGCTTTCTCCTGCTGGGAGGGCCTAGTAAATCTGGTCAGTTTTAGGGTGTTCTGGAAGCTATTCTACTGTTGTTGTGTTCACCTCCCTGCTTAGGGAGTTCCCCTGCAGGATGGAGTGGTTTAACCTTGGAGGAGACTAGCTCAAGATCACCTTCTCTTTTCTTGAAAACAGGTAGAGCAGGAGAACTCTACAGTCGTCAGTCTGCAGGTTAGGCTGCTGAAGGTTGGGTTGGATGGATTGAAGCTTTGCTCTCCCGTTTCTCTCGGTTCTTACGGTGCAGCTTTTTCTGGGCTACAAATGATGGCCTTTTGATGTTTCTTGGTTGCTGTCTTTGATATATATATTACCATTCAGACTGCCAAAAATACCGTTTTTCTTTCTAGTTGTGGTCTCATTTGTATAGACCTTAAAAATTATGTATCCCATAGGGCAAAATCAAGTGTGACTCTGGAGCTCCATCCTTGAACCCGTGTTCTCATGTGGATACAGCCGCTCAGACACTGGGTATCGTGGCAGCTTAGAGTTCCTTCTAAGAGCTCTTTATTATTTTTTGGCTCAGTGGTAATGTAATGCCAAAACATGACAAAATACGCCTATCTGTGTATCACTGCTCTCTGACTAGACAGAGTACCCACACTGAGGGTGCTCTCTCTGGAAGCTTACTCTGGGGAAAGTAGTTCTTCCTCCTCAGTGGAGATGTCTGCATTTAGGGACCTGGACCTTGTCCTGCAAGAAAACACCATCATTGTGGTGATGGCAACACATCGGGTTTTTGCAAATGGTTCTACCTAACGGGAGAAGGGGATTCGCCTTCGTGTCCTTCTTACTTAATGAGATGAAACAATAAATCATAATATTTACTAAAAAGCTACTAGAACTTTGCTGTCAATCCGGTGGTGTTAGATGGATTATTTCACTGGTATTTGTATACTTCTATGTGTAGCATCAACAGTAAAATTGTATTTTTTTTTTAAATAGAGCTTGCTTTGTGAGCAGAAAGCCATTGGTGGTGTACTTGATTCTCTAAGAATTAGGCTGACTGCGGCAGGGTATGGGGAGAAGTGCTCTGTGTGTCAACTGAGGTGCTACAGGAAATGACAGCACAGCCATAGCTGGGGGCAGCTATGAGTCAGATGAGGGCCACTTCCTGTGTGAGGAAATTCAGGTGCTGCCTGGCTGGTTTGAGCCTCACACAACTCTCTGTTTCTCCACACATCTTTCCAAATTTCTTTGGGAGCAGTTGAGCGTTGGAGATCCTTTTCTATGATTCTGGGTAGAGAGAGCCAAGTGACTTTCCATCCAGAAGATAGAGTTTGGGACTGGAGCCACAGCCAGACTTGGTGCTTAGAGCATCATTAGTCTTTTTAGGCTGCTGGAATCGTCTGGGATCTTGACAAACAGAAAGCATAAGGGGCGAGACCCAGAGAGGCTGCTCCAGAAGATGTTGCAAAGGGAATAAGGCAATGTTGTCACAGCCGAAAGTGTGTGGGGCAGAAATACTAGGATACATTAATTCAGACATGGGTTTGGCTTGGTAAAATTCTCAAGAGAAGGTTTGCTGATATGTGGGTATGAGCTGTAAAACCTATTCTCAATATAGTCCTTTGGTGTTTTTTAAATAGTCTTTTATTTGTAAGAGAAATTGGACTAATTGCCATTAGATTTAGCACGGCTTTTCACTAGACTGTGTCCAGACTCTGGAGACCAACCTGGCTGCACGCAGTGCTAGCATGCTCAGATTCTACTGTATGACAGACGTCTGTCCTGGAACTAGCTTTTGTAGACCAGGCTGGCCTTGAACTCACAGAGATCTGCCTGCCTCTGCCCCCGAGTGCTGGGATTAAAGGTGTGCGCCACCCCTGTCCGGCTTGCTATTCCCATATTTTATAGAGAAGGAAACCAGTTCTCCTAGAGATCATCTGGGGTCAGTTAGCCAGCAGTGGTGGAGTTCCATCCAGGCGCAAGCTCGAGTCATTTCCATTCACTCATATTTTTTTGTGAAGCATTTTTATTTATTAACTCACTGCTAGACTCATTATCTACTAACAGAGATTTTATTAAAACATTATTCTCGCCATATAAAACTAGGCCTGCTTTTAAAATTACAGTCTTACTCATCTATATTTGACTTTCACTTTTGTTCAAATTAAATAGTGTGTGCTGTGCATATTCACATTTTTTAATTTATTGAATGATTGTATTCTCCAGAATTTGAGACGGCTCTTTATAATTTGTCCCGCGGTTCTCAGGTGTACAGAGGGAGGCCTTTTTGATCACTGGGTTTTGTGACAGCTTTGGTTGTGAGAAGATGGCATTGATGAAAAGCAACATCCTTAGAATCCCAGAGAGATGCCTCTCCCATTGGCCCAGAAAAGACAATTCATTTTATCAATGAGTTGCTAACATACACAGATCTTTTACTTCTGTTCTGTTTTCATGGTTTTATTGGGGTATTGATCTACAGTGACTGTACATATTTAATGTGTGATTTAATATCTGCGAAACATAACTTCAGTGAAAATGATGAATATAGCCGTTCCTCTCAAAATGCCATCTGCTTGAAGGGAAAACATCCATTTCTCTCTCCGCAGTTTGGAGCAGAAAGTCTGGTCAGGGACTCAGCTGACTGCTCTGGACTCCAGCCTTGCCCTCGAGGCTCCATGAAAGTCAGACTGAATCCAGCCTTTTGGCAGTCTTTAGTTTTCCCATCTAACAAAGGAGGGTGTCGGGACTGATGGTCCCTAAGGCCCCCTACAGCTCAAATCTCAATAAAGCGAAGAGGACCGTGGGCTTAGGACATTGGTTTGCTCCTGAATGGTTTTATGGTAGAACGTCGGTGTCCCTAGAGGCTGGGTACCAACCAGTCACCTCCTGCTTTACCAATTGGTTTTCACAAAATTGTCTGATTTCTTTTCAATCCCTTTCACCCTAATGCAAGGTCACTGGTTTCTCTTTGCAAGCCTGTCTTCAAAACACCTGTTTGAGAATGCAGAACTGTGGCTGGGGCGCTGCTGTCCACTCCACAGCAGTTACCCAAAAAGCCAGTGGTTGAGAGCAAGGTCATCAGCTCTGGCTTTTCAAGGCAGCTTGGGCCTTTCCTGGGAGGAAGAGATGGGTTGTACCTCTGTGTTTCAGAACTCGGGTAAGGGATACAGATTGGAGTTTAATTAAAATTCTGATCCGTACTTTACCCGCTTCCTTGCCAAGTCAGCAGCCAACACTTCTGTTTGTGGATCTGGTGCTTTTGCCACTATGACACAGAGTTGCCTCCAAAATCCTGGCAAGTGAACCTAAAGCATCAATATGTTCACCAGGTGCTAGCTGGGCACTGCCTTCTGTCTGTTTTAGCAGATACCTGTCTGCCGCTGCCAGGTATCTTAGGCAGGGAGCTATGGAAAGAGGTGGGCAAAAAATAGCATCGTCTACAGAGAAGGTAATTTCCCCACTGCATAAAGGTCTTCCACAATGCTTTTGTCTTCCAGGTAGCTAGGTGGGATTTCTGAGGAGGGGCCCTCAGATTTCTTCTTGGCCAACCATGAGGTTCTTCCTGCTGTGGTTCTGCGTGCTGTTCCTTCTGGCCTCCAGGTTACGGGCAGTCAGCTTCCCTGAAGACGACGAGCCCCTTAACACTGTCGATTATCACTGTAAGTCGCCCAAAACCATCTCATCATTTACAAAGGAAACCTTAAGTTTGTCTTCTTCTGTGTATATCCATTTTCAGCATCAGAGACAGATTTTAATATGTCTTTCCAGTGTTTTGCACAATAAATCATCTGCATTTTTTTCCTCGACCGTGCAGAAACGGAGCCAGTTCTGTTGGGTGCTGTCCTGCGGCAGCCCATATGTAGAAATTGTGTGTTTTCAGTAAAAAAGAAAAAGACCATTTACTGACATTCTCCATCTTTTACTAATTTATATTCAAGACCTTAAGAGAGGAATTTAGTTAAAACCCTTTCTACAAGTACTATATACAGCTAATCAATGCTGTCTATTGATTCTTCAACTCTGTAATCCTGACTGATGGTTTAGCCCATTTTTACTTGCAGATTCTAGGCAATATCCGGTTTTTAGAGGACGCCCTTCAGGCAACGAATCGCAGCATAGGCTGGACTTTCAGCTGATGTTGAAAATTCGAGACACACTTTATATTGCTGGCAGGTAATTTTCCTTTCGTTGGTTTATTAGATTAAAATTCTTTTCTCTTGTGGTGCTTGCATTAATGTGTCTAGTTCATGAAAAACTAATATGTGATTGTGATCAAGAATTGCAAGTAACCAAAAATACTGTCCATGAAGAGCATGCTGGGTACCAGGCACAGAATACAGAGCTCCAGCCCTCTGTGACACATCCAGAAATCACACATCATTCTTTTGTCCTAAAGCAGCAGGGGAAAATTCATCCTTTATTCTTTTCTAACTTAGAATTATTCAAGCAAATATCAGAAATAGGGCCACGCTAAAGCCCTGTCGGTTTGCACAAGCTTGGAGGCAAGGGCCTCCTTTGGTCCTTGACTGCAGTGATTTCACAAAAGCAGCTCACTAATGAAACAGTGCTCTTTGTTGACTTCGTTGAAGTCACGGAAAAGCCTGGTGATCTTCAAAGAGCAGTAATGGCAGCTCTGTAAAGATGAAATAAGCTTAGCCTCTACGCATTCACGTGGTGTGACTTACTGCCTTGTTTCCAACAGAGATCAAGTCTATACAGTGAACTTAAATGAAATCCCCAAAACAGAGGTCATACCAAGCAAGGTGAGCCGCCAGCTACAGAGGGCAAATGTATTCACACACCCTCTGAGCTTCAGTCACGCCCCCTCCAAAAGCGCAGCCTTTTAAAACTGAACTTTGATTTTACTTGGTTAATCTAGAAGCTGACGTGGCGGTCCAGACAACAGGATCGAGAAAACTGTGCTATGAAAGGCAAGCATAAAGTGAGTGCGGCGGCTGGGTGCCTGCTACGTCCCCCTCTTTGTGGGCTTGCCATCCTAACATCAGCACGGGAGATGTCTTACAGCCATGTGCTTATTCTTCCCTTAGGATGAGTGCCACAACTTTATCAAAGTCTTTGTTCCAAGAAACGATGAGATGGTTTTTGTCTGTGGTACCAATGCTTTCAACCCAATGTGTAGATACTATAGGGTAAGTATGTTTTAGATGATGAATCTTTTTTTCCCCTTCAACTGTATTAGCCTTCACTGGTTTGCTTTTAGAGTTGAACCTTTCGTGTGTAACCCAGTGATTTGTTTTATCTCTCATGTTATAAGAGAGTGCAAACCAGAATCCCTCAAATAGAATTTCAGTATAAATAAAGCAATATTTCCTTCAAATAAGTGCATCGAACAGATGTGACACCAGCTATTTTTTTTTTCCTCTTGCAGTTGAATACCTTAGAGTATGATGGGGAAGAAATTAGCGGCCTGGCACGATGCCCATTTGATGCCAGACAAACCAATGTTGCCCTTTTTGCTGGTAAGAAGCTGTGGTGTACTGAATATCAATGATTAATGACATTGAAGGTACAGAAGAATTTAAAGGGAGGAAAAGGCTCAGACTTTGGATGGATACTTTGACATAAGCATTTCAGAGGCTAAAGCCAGTTGAGCAAATTGTCAGGAAGAATACGTAAAAAAAAAAAAAAAAAAAAAGAGTATTTCAGTGACTGGGATATAAGCCTTCTTGCACGTGGCTCTGTCATTAACTAAGCTGCTGACCCTGAATACATTGCTTAATTTTTGGTGCATAGGTCCTTCATCTGTAAAATTAGGTAATATCATAGGACAGCCAATTAGAGGGTGAGGGTGAGCCCAGGTGTAGCGTATTGCATGGATAATGGTGACAGGTGAAACAGTGCAGAAGGTAACCATGCTGACATACCGCAGGTAATTATGGTTACTTTGCCAAATTATAACTTTGGTTTCAGATGGGAAGCTGTATTCTGCCACAGTGGCTGACTTCCTGGCCAGTGATGCTGTCATTTACAGAAGCATGGGGGATGGATCTGCCCTTCGCACAATAAAATATGATTCCAAATGGATCAAAGGTACCCATGAGGAGCAATGCCATTGGGTTGCTGGGGATGGTCAGATGGTCAAGGCCACCAGGAATTTAAGGGCAGGACTTTGGATTGCTCATCTAGAATAAGCGTATGGTGTTTTGCTTATGAATGATCAGAATGATCAGACCAGTCAACGCATGAAGGAGGGGGATGTTCATCCATGCCTGTATGCAGGTAGCCGAAGCAAACTCCAACAGCTAAAGAGAGGCCTTGTCTTCGGGCATCAGTTTGTCTCACTCCAAATGCACACAATACTACCTACCCTCCCTGGCCCGTCCACCCATCTTGGAACGTTAGTAGTGAGAACCAATGAGTTCAGACTTCTAGAGTCATGTTGTTCTTCCAAGTCTGAAAATCAGGGTTTTTTTTTTTTTTTTAAATCTCAATATGGGGTTTCCTTCCCTAGTTAAATAGGTTAATGAACAAATCTGTTGAAACAAAGACCTTTGCTGTAGTTCACTTCCCCATAGGCCGTGTTTTACAGTCCATTAGCTGACTTTAAAGACGCGGGCCCCTGAAGCTTGAACACACCCATATTGGGACTCCGAGGAATCATTGCTGCAAGGGCAGGAATGAAGCAAGCATACCTGGCCGCTGGGGTCTTACTCTAACTGAATCATTCCTTAAGAATGGTTTGTTTTTAATTTTTTCTTCCAGAACCACACTTCCTTCACGCCATCGAATATGGAAACTATGTCTATTTCTTCTTCCGAGAAATCGCCGTGGAACATAATAACTTGGGCAAGGCAAGTATACACGCTAGATGTGCTGCAGTGGGCTTGGACTGCAGGGAATCGCACCCACCTTGGCAGAGTGGTGGGTGCTCCCCTGTCTTGTGTCAGAGAGCTTGCTTCAGTGCATATGAGGTCAAGTAAGGGACTCGGGTTGCTGATGGTGCAGCTGACGGCTGGGAACTGGGAAACACCTCCCAATGCCCAAGAGTGGGAACAGCTGCCTCCTCGGCCTTTCAGAAGCATTCACGTTTTTTATTTTTATCACCACGGAACGTGGGGGCTTCTTTTTCACTCTTTAGACAGCCATTGATGGTCTCATCATTTCCCATGTCAAAGGCAGAATGGAGAAGGGGACCCCCCTCCCCCGCCGTTGAATTTAGAGTGTTTCTGTATAAGTACATGGACTCCTTGCGTGTGGCCGTCTCTTCTGTGACTTGACATTTGAATATGAGAAGCAATAGAGAAAGTTAGAGACAGAAGTTCAGACACGGTTTTCATTCTGCCAGGAAGACAGCTAGCTCATGTCTGCGGAGCATGTTTGGCAGTGTGGGGAAAACTCTCCACCGCTTGCTTCCTGTGCAGAAGCAGCAAGGGGCAGCTAGCTTTGAGCCAGACATCGAGTTTGTTTGTTTGTTTTTGTTTTTGTCCCTCCCCTAAGTAGCAGCATTTTGCTGTGCTCCTCTTCCATGCTCACAACCTCATCCATCGCTCGCTTGGCTTTTGTCTCCCGGCAGGCTGTGTATTCCCGCGTGGCTCGCATTTGTAAGAACGACATGGGTGGCTCCCAGCGGGTCCTGGAGAAACACTGGACTTCCTTCCTGAAGGCTCGGCTTAACTGCTCTGTCCCCGGAGATTCCTTTTTCTATTTCGACGTCCTGCAGTCCATCACAGACATAATTCAAATCAATGGTGTCCCCACCGTGATTGGGGTCTTCACCACGCAGCTCAACAGGTGGGAACAAGCAGGGTCCGGCTCCTCCCAGAAGTGCTCTGTGCTCCCTCAGACCCTGGCATGGCCCCCCATTGCCAGCCTCTTCCTCACGGTTTTCTCATTTTTCAGCATTCCCGGCTCTGCCGTCTGTGCCTTCAGCATGGATGACATTGAGAAAGTGTTCAAAGGGCGATTCAAAGAACAGAAAACCCCTGACTCTGTTTGGACGGCAGTCCCCGAAGACAAAGTTCCGAAACCAAGGTAAGGAAAAGAGTTGAAAGGTTTTTGTATTGAACAAAACCACTGTGAACCTTGGAACCGTCTGTCTACCCTGTGCCTGTGGATGTGAAGGGCCCGTGGAATTCTGGGAAATTATATTACTCCTCTGGCTTTGCTGTCATTCATTCCTCTCTTGACCGCTTTCCCACGGAATGTGTGCTCACACCTTAAAATACAATTATGTGAGAGAGAATGATTGAAGATCGCTATTTTCATTTCAGGCCTGGTTGTTGTGCCAAACATGGTCTCGCGGAAGCTTACAAAACCTCCATCGACTTCCCAGATGAGACCCTGTCTTTCATCAAATCCCATCCCTTGATGGACTCTGCTGTTCCACCCATCGCTGATGAGCCCTGGTTCACAAAGACACGGGTCAGGTGAGACCATGGGTAAACTACTTCTACCACACAGCTCTGTCACTGCCCCCCGCCCCCACTCACACTGACTTGCCTCTCTCCTCTGCTAGGTACAGGTTGACGGCCATCGAAGTGGACCGTGCAGCAGGGCCCTACCAGAACTACACAGTCATCTTTGTTGGCTCGGAAGCTGGTGTGGTGCTTAAAGTATTGGCGAAGGCCAGTCCTTTCTCTTTGAATGACAGTGTATTGCTTGAAGAGATTGAGGCGTACAACCAAGCCAAGTAAGTACGTTTGAGGAGAAATCTCTTCAGCTCTGCTCAAAAAGGCTTGGCGTGTATCTCCTCTGGCCCTTTCCTTTCAGACTTCTAAATCAGTGGTGCTTTTTACGGGTTCTGTTTGGGTTTTATTTCTCCCTTTATTATTTATCTCCCCCTGAAATACTTTTCAGGCTTGTTTGTGTTTTGTCAGCCCACTGGGGCACGGAGAGTGAACAGCTGATGAACTTAAAAATAAGTCAGCCCTTCTTTCTCACCGGTGAAAAATGAGAACCTTGCAGCTCTCTCTTACCTCGCAGATCTATTTCAGGAGGCCGCATGCGGTACAGTTGGTTGTGAGCATGCGCACAGAGGATGGACTTAAGCGTTTAGCGTTTTGTTCTAACCAAGGAGCTGAGGTTGTTCGGACAATTAAAACACGTAAGAAGTAAGGGAGAGGAATAGAGCATGTGAGACAGGCACCCAGAGGCCTCTCGCATGGGAGGACTTCACATTAGAATAGCATCCTTCTCTTCCTCTAGAGTCCAGCACGTTCTTTACGGCAGCAGCAACGCCATTCAACCCTTTTAAAGGCCCTTTGTTCAGCTTGAAATGGAACCAGCTATGCAAAAGCGTAGAGCTGTATCCCACAACTCCTTGGCTTGCTTAGCCACCAAATCACACATACCTCGTGTATAGATGACGCGGGTGTGACTTCAATGTGTGTCTTCAAATCGTCCCCACCAAACAGGTGCAGCGCCGAGAGCGAGGAGGACAGGAAGGTCGTCTCCTTGCAGCTGGACAAAGATCACCACGCTTTATACGTGGCCTTCTCCAGCTGCGTCGTGCGCATCCCCCTCAGCCGCTGTGAGCGCTACGGAGCCTGTAAAAAGTAAGCTTGTGTTTTCCATGTGCATTCCGGCTCCTGCAGTGGCATCTTCGGTGCTGACTGAGAAAATCCACGTCACAGCTTGTTTGGTTTTTCTCCAGGTCCTGCATTGCCTCACGGGACCCGTACTGTGGCTGGCTAAGCCAGGGCGTTTGTGAGAGAGTGACCATAGGAATGCTGTAAGTACCCTGGACCACCCAACCACCGTCTCCGAGGGTATCGACACCTGAAAAAAAAAAATGATTTCCAGATATACTGCTTTTCGTTTCCTTCCTTTCTTTTTCTGGCATGGGGAAAGTTTTAAAAAAGAAAACCTAAAATTTGAAAGGGAAACGGGATTTAGACACAGCAACCCTTGAGGGCAATGGATTCTGGGGAAGAACATTCCACTCCCTCAGACATTCTAGATAAACTAACAAGTAGTTCCTTCAGCAAGTTTGTTGAATCGTCAGTGTGTTCTCTCCGCTTACTGTCACTAACCAGTCTGTGTTCTCGGCTCTGTCCTGGCTGTCCCTTGTGTCCCTATGAAGGCTGTTAACTGAAGACTTCTTTGCTTTCCATAACCACAGTGCTGGAGGATATGAACAAGACATGGAGTACGGCAACACGGCCCACCTAGGGGACTGCCACGGTAAGACAGACGCCTCCCTGCCCTCTGGCTGCTGCTTTTGACTACGGTTGCACGCCAACATTATTTGACAACCAGCCTTTATAATGACTCGGGACACAAACCACCTAGCATTTAACGTAAACTTCGGAAAAGCTGAGCTGTTTGGTCATGGGGGTCCATTAGAAAAGATTCTGAATTTTTCTTTTTCTTCCCCATTTGAACTTCTGTTAAGAGCAATCTAGAGAAAGGTAGTCTAACCAGTAGACTTTTAATTTGTAGTCTTTTCTTTTGACTTTTCCCTATGACTTGGAATTCATAAACTTTTTGCTTTCTTTCGGTTGCTTCTCACTGATTACTTGTTCCTTTAATCCCTTTAGAAAGTTTGCCTACTTCAACTACACCAGATTACCAAATATTTGGCGGTCCAACATCTGGTTAGTTTTTTTTAATTTTTTTGAATTAACAATCTTTTCTTTCCTTCGGTTCAGCATTTTCAGCCCCTCTCCCCCCTCCTCCTTTTGCGCAGTTTGGCAGCCCCTTCATTTTTCCGCTTTGACTCATAAACCCTCTGAAGGTCCTGAAAGATGTTTTCTTACTCGGCCCTCCACCCATGTGTAGCATGTTAATGATTCATCATTGACCAAGGCACATCCTTAAGGAAAGTCAAGTGGGCTGACATGTACTGCATTTCAACTGCACGCCGGCCGCCCAGCTTCCTTCTCTCTCAACCCCTTGCATTGTGAATGCTCCCTCTGGCCATCTTTGTTCCATGGATGGCCGAACTGCATAATTTCCCCTTTCTCTCCCCACCTTTCATAAGACCAAGGAATGAACAATACGCATTTTGCGAAAATGTGTATTTCTAAGTTTTAAAGATCTTTTTTGAATGCTTTGTGGCAATCCCAGAAATCTCTGAATGTTGTGATCTCAGTGGTGTGAGAGAAGCTTCAGGTGAATGAAGCTGGACTTTGGTGTGTGACGATGTACAGTGGGGTCTCCGTGCACATCTGTCTGTGTTTGCTTAGAAGTCTCTACCTGTGACTCTTGGGTCAGTCTCTACCGTGTCTAAAAGCATATGCGTGTATATTCAAGGAAATCTACGAGGTTAAAGCTGGTAATAGATCCAGAGAGGTTCAGCTGCTCTTTGGTCTACACTGCTTCTAGAGTTCACATCAGTTTTATCCCTCAAGGGAGGAGAAAAGGATGACCCATCTCTAGGATCTCAACATCCCTAGTTAGTGTGTAAATGCCATTGCTTGTGCTTGAGTTACTGCTAACTCTTTGGAAGAAACTCCCCAGGCATTTCAGAGAGCACAGCATGGTTTGTGTGCACTGTGGATGAGGCTCTCAGTGCAGTGAGAAATCTCCAAATGGACAAGAGGCCCTGGAGAAGCAAAATGGCCTCATAGGCAGAACTGGTTTATCAGGTCCAAATCAGCTGTTTACTTGGACTTGACCAGGTACTTTTTGTAATTCCATTATAGCTTTTCCAGGGAAGGATAAAGGACCCCAACCATTCACAAAAGTCCTCCATGCAATACATATTACAGATGAATCAAATGAACCCCAAGATCTGGAGGGAAGTAGGATCATCCCGAGCTGGGGCTCATACTACGTTTCCACAAGGAGACTTCAGTAGGAATGTTCTCATATCTTTACTTTTGAAATCTGCGTAGTCTGTCTTCCTTGTCAGTTTTTAGTTTTTACGCTTCTCTTACATGAAAAGGATTTGGAATAGTCCCCCTGGTGTGCTTTTAACCAAGTTCTAGGGCAGGATTTCTCAGACTTTTAAAGTGCAACAAAGCAATCAGAAAACTCTTCCAACGCTAGCCATGTTAATGGACGTCTATGTTTGCCACCACAGACATGGAGGTATCTTCATCTTCTGTTGCCACTGTGGCAAGTAGCCCAGAAATTACATCTAAAGTGCTTGATACCTGGAGACCTAAACTGACGAGCTCCCGGAAATTTGTAGTTCAAGATGACCCATACACTTCTGATTTTACTGATACTATATCAGGTATCCCAAAGGGTAAGGCCTGGCCAGGCACCTCCTCTCCAACTGCATGGAAACCTGACTCCTCGCACGGCTCTCAGAGGTGAAGCTCCGTAGAACTAGAGGGGTGGCTTCCTCTAGGTTCTCTGGCCACGGTGACTCGGCTGTCCTGTGGTTCAGTCTGAGTGCATTCCTACCCGAGACGTAGCTCCTGAGACAGCCACTCAGGATTTCTAATCTGCGTCCGTTTCGGCCTGGAGACACTGAGAGCCTGCTGAATATCAGAGAATTTTGAGGGTCACCCTCACAGTATTCCAAAAAAAAAAAAAAAAAAAACCAAAAAAAAAACCTCAGATGACAAATATCCTGTTACCAAATTCTATCTAGGAGGCTTTCTCTGCCCCTTGCTTAGCTTCAGCTGGACATGTGATGTGGAAAGGCTTTGTGGAGTGACAGGTCACTCAGATGCCTCAAGCCATAAAGTATGACATGGTGCTTATCCATAATTACTACTCTCAGCCCAGACTAGATGAAGTTTAAAAGCTGCCTGATCAATTTGCTTATTAGATTTAATCCTCTGGGGAACAGACGTCTCCCCCTTTGTGCATACGCGGTGGTATCAGGTTTCCAATCAGTTCTTACGGCATTACCTTGTCATTTATGATTTACTTCTGTTGATTTTTGGGTTTTTTTTATATTTTCATTGAAAACAATTTTATACTCATGATTTCTGTTTTGATTTCTTCAGTAATACCATTTCTTTTCTCCTTCCTCTCCTGGTCTTTCACAATGCCATGAAATTCCATAACTTTGACAGCTGATTTAAACCAACTAACATTAAAGGCCTTAGCAGTACTCTCTTAACACCAGAGAACCGTCCCAGTTGCTCTGGCTCAGTTACTCTGGGGTAGTTGCATGGATAACACAGAATCGACTTGAATCCCTCTCAATCTAACCCTTCTTTAATCGATCCTTAGATGTCTGTGGTTGCATTAAAATCTCCAATGGTTACCAACTAACTCACTCTTCACTCCCTAGGTCTAATTTAAGTATTCCTCAAATACCTTCCAGACAATTTAACGATATTCTGAAACTAATACATAGATGATTTTCTCACCCTGCCCGGCTTTCTTACATAGTAGCTACTTCGTGAATATTTCATCCCAAGATGAAATTTCAAAGTAGATCCGTGAAGACGAATGCGCCAGAGTACATTGTACTTAACCCTGACCAAGGACCTGCTTTTCGTTTGTGACCAGTTATGCTTTTGTTCTGGTTAACACAACTGTATTAGCATAGCTCTTTTACCTACCGTGACGTGTGTTTTTGCTAATTCAGACGTCTCCTTAACTCCAGCTGCAATTCTTTAGTCCTGATTTAGAAATTAGGGGAGAAGCGTAAGGTAAATGTTTTCTGGCATACTCTAACTCCTCTCTTTAGATAGAAACTCTTAAAATTCCTAACAACTGCTTAAAGGAGATTGGGGAAAAAATATGCCAAATGGAAGATAAGAGTTACATTGACTTTCGCAGCAAGCATATATGTTTCTGGAGCTTGTAGTGTGGTTTAAGGGGGAGGGGACCTACATGGGAAATGTGGGGATCTGTTGATCCTATAAGCTAGGCCTATAGAGCATTTGAAGATAGTATTGGTTCAGGGTAAGCACTTTTATATTTATTATTGTTTTGAAAGCACCTCATTCAAAGTCGTCACATATCTGTTGCAGGTGTGCGGTGGGAAGTCCAATCTGGAGACTCCAACCAGATGGTCCATATGAACGTCCTCATCACCTGTGTGTTTGCCGCTTTTGTCCTGGGTGCGTTCATCGCAGGCGTGGCTGTATACTGCTACCGTGACATGTTTGTTCGCAAGAACAGAAAGATCCATAAAGACGCCGAATCGGCCCAGTCATGCACAGACTCCAGTGGAAGCTTTGCCAAGCTGAATGGCCTCTTTGACAGTCCCGTCAAGGAATACCAACAGAACATTGATTCTCCTAAACTCTATAGCAACCTGCTGACCAGTCGGAAGGAGCTGCCGCCCACCGCGGATACAAAATCCATGGTCATGGAGCATCGAGGCCAGCCTCCAGAGCTGGCTGCTCTCCCCACACCCGAGTCCACGCCTGTGCTCCACCAGAAGACCCTGCAGGCCATGAAGAGCCACTCAGACAAGGCCCATGGCCACGGTGCTTCGAGGAGAGAACACCCCCAGTGTTTTCCTTCCAGTCCTCCACCCCACTCCCCGTTAAGTCATGGGCACATCCCCAGCGCTATTGTTCTTCCAAACGCCACCCACGACTACAACACGTCATTTTCAAACTCTAATGCTCACAAAGCCGAAAAGAAGCTTCAGAATATCGACCACCCTCTTACAAAGTCCAGTAAGAGGGAGCACCGGCGTTCTGTGGATTCCAGAAACACCCTTAACGACCTCCTGAAGCATCTGAATGACCCAAACAGTAACCCCAAAGCCATCATGGGAGAAATCCATATGGCGCATCAAACCCTCATGCTGGACCCCGTAGGACCTATGTCTGAGGTCCCACCCAAGGTCCCTAACCGGGAGGCATCTCTGTACTCCCCTCCCTCAACACTCCCCAGAAATAGTCCAACCAAGAGAGTCGATGTCCCTACCACTCCCGGGGTCCCAATGACATCTCTGGAAAGACAAAGGGGTTATCATAAAAATTCCTCCCAGAGGCACTCCATATCAGCTGTGCCTAAAAACTTAAACTCACCAAATGGTGTTTTGTTATCCAGACAGGCGAGTATGAACCGTGGAGGGTATATGCCTACTCCCACGGGGGCGAAGGTGGACTACATTCAGGGGACACCCGTGAGTGTCCATCTGCAGTCTTCCCTCTCCAGACAGAGCAGCTACAGCAGTAATGGTACCCTACCCAGGACGGGACTAAAGAGGACACCATCCTTAAAACCTGATGTGCCGCCAAAGCCTTCCTTTGTTCCTCAAACCACATCGGTCAGACCACTGAACAAATACACTTACTAGGCCTCCAGTGTGCTATTCCAGTGTGGCTTTGTCCTGTCCCTGTTGTTGAGGTCCCTGTGAGGGTACCTTAAGACAAGATACCTGCTTGTATTTTAAGAGAAACAAGTAGCCAAAGAAACTCTGTAACTTTGGTAACATCAGAACTTGCCACATGTAGCTACTGCATCCTGGCTTCTGTGTACTTGCCTGAAGCCGAGGGAGGTACTGGTCATTCCATTTCTCTTGTTTGAAGCTGAAGGGGTGTGTAGCCTGGAAGGGCTCCCTTCGCCAGTAGAAAGAGCTGATACAGTACTCAGAAGACTGAACAAATACTTGAAAATGGGTTCAATGTAGACTGCCATTATGTGTGGTCTTCCCATTAAATGTGAACATTTTAATATGTATGCATTCACCTTGCCTCTTGCACAAATGTCAAAATGAAAAGATGGGAATGTCTCAAAACAAAATGAGCTTGTAGATTACCAAGCAGTTTGCTAAAAAAAAAAAATCAATCTTTGACCCAAACTGTAGCATTTTTTTTTTCATGTGTGGCACTGTTTTTTTTTTATTTGATGCCACGAACAAACCTGTATGAGAGGTGTGTGTGTGTGTGTGTGAGAGAGAGAGAGAGAGAGAGAGAGAGCGAGCTCTGTGCCCATTAAGATTTATTTAGGTGCCCATTGCGTCTTTTTGTACTATGGAGTTGTTTACACTAAGCATGACTGAAGACAGCTAACTTCCTCCCACACCAATCCATTGTGTTCAGCTCCGAGAAAGGAGGTCGAGGCTCCTTTGACTGTCAAGTGATTAACTTAACCTATGTGGTACCCAATGTCAGAACATGTAAGAGTTCTAAATAATGTTGTGCTGCTATCATCAAAACTTCTCTTCGAGCCTTGCCAGTTTAAGAGGCTAGAGTTATTAAGATGTACCTTTAATGTATCTACCAGTATTCAGTAGTAACGTTTACCCGTCCACTGTGAATCAAAGCTACCTAACCCTGGACACACTCATAAGTGTTTCTTTTGATTGTGTTATTTTATTTTCCACATAGCAAAAAAAAAAAATTTTTCTTCTGTTCACTCTTCCTTCCCCCAAGACAGAAAGAGAAAACCGAAACAGAGGACGAAAGAAAGAGACAGAAAAGGAATTGCAGTCGGCTCACCAGGGAGGGTGTGAAAGCCCACAGTGGTGCCGCCCTGTCCTCTGTGCTGTGTTCTGAGGATGGTCTCCTGAGTCATGCAGGCAGTGACAGTAAACTGTAAATACCACATGTGAGTTTACCCGGATCTGTACATTTTGTGCCTTATTCACGAGAGTGGTAGGAGTTCTGCAGTACGTTGCGTGTTTCCGCTATTAGCGCATCATTTCCCGTGTGCCAGTTGTAAATGTTTTTCAGCCAGCGCCCGACGACTTATTACAAAGTCAGAAAGCAATTTGTTGTTGAACTCTCCCCGCCCCCGCCCCCGCCCCCGCCCCCTTCCCCACGCACCAGAATCTGAAGCAGCACCCGCCCCTGCCATGACAAACATTCCACCCCTGCTCTTCTGGAAATGTGAAGGCAGATGAGGGTTCCCAGGGAATGTGGCACCTGCGGAAACCATGTCTAAAGTCATCTCTACGTAGCTTGACAGAGCCCACTGGTGTGCAGCCTACTGACGACTTTGGTTAACCCAATGTACATCACCCAGTCTTATCCAACCTAGTCAGAAATTACCACAGCTGAGGAAGGCTCCTGACCCAGTCAGGTAGAGTTCAGCCGCTATCTCGGGACAGTGACAGTGGCATGCATTACTTGGGGGGAGGAACGGGTGCAGAACACCAGATCATTTTTAGACAGAATGTAGAATACTGATGGAGTTGGTCTTTTCCTTCAAGAACATTCTTTTCTAGAGAGAGAAAAAACCAATGATCCCTTAAAAGCTGAAACACCTGTTCTCAAACGACTTCAGCTTTGCAACTAAAATATTACAGTTTAATCAATTAAACCAACCAACAATAAGCACTACACAGTCTGCCACCAACGGTGTGTTTGCATTTACCTTAAAATATTAATCCCAGCGTGGTAACTCTGTGTGACCCCGCTAACATTTTGTAACATTGTGCTGCCTTAGAGTGTACTGTGAGTTCTATCAGTATTTATGTTGAAATTTCTAACATGGAGTTTAGTCTCTATTCTGTTAATTTAATTTTTAAATGCTTTATCCATTTGTGCAAAGGTAAACACAGATTGTATCTTTTTTAATGGTACGGCATAAAAAAAATAACCCTAAAGTGAAGTGGCTCTATACTCTTTTATAGAGTACTTTAACATGTATAGATATCTTGTAAACTTGTATTGTGGATGTGTAAATAATATGTACTTTGGGTTTTTAACACCGCATGTAAAGTCAAAATAAAATATCCAAGTCATTACACCTTGCCTTTTGACATTTAAGAGGTTTAGACGTCATTTGTTTTATGTTAGTCATGCTATAGTTATTTCAAAGTCTAGTAACATTCTTATCAGAAATATTTGTTACCTTTTTACATTATATTTCTCTTTTCTCCCTGGAAGACTGTTGTTAAAGGCGGGAGCCTGAAATTAGACCAGCAGTTCAGAAAATCACATGGCTGATGGCCCTGCATCCACAGCCAAATGGTGATCTTGTGCCTTGATCTAGTTCGAAGAGCATTTTAGAATTTATACTCTTTGGGCTGAGGAATGGCTAGGTGGGTACAGTGCTTGGTGTGCAATCATCAGGACCAGAGTTTGAACCTCCAGCACCTTGAACTTGGTACAGTAGCAGCACTTCGTAACACCGGTACTCCTAACAGATGGGAGACAGAGACAGGAGAGTCCCCCAAATAGGCCTGCTAGTCTAGTATAAGCTGAGCTGAACAAGAGACCCTGTCTCTAGCATGGTGGAAGATGGATCATCTATCCACATGGTTATCCTCTGATCTGTACACATGCACCATGGCATGCATGCACCAACATACAAACATGCACACACATACATACATACATACATACATACAACACACAGAAATATCACACAAAGAATTCATGATTTATTATCACATGAAAATGTAAATATACTTTTAGGTCAGAATCATAACTGGTGAGCCGTTCTTGCTGTTCGTGCATGGAAGGCCTCCACACATTGTATAATAAGAGATGAATTCCCCAAATATGAAAGTATAAGGGTAAAAGTGGGATTCTGTGGCATTTCTCTTAGCAGGTAACTCGCTGGCCCTTATGGATGGGCACAAAGCCGTCTCTGATGTAGTGAAGGTTGTACCCAACCTCTACCTGTTGGGGCTCAGCAGCTGCTCCCAGCCAAAGCCTACCTGCAGCTTTTCCAAGACCTTTGTCAGAAGACCTCAGTAGCATCTTACGCAGAGCAGCAGACACTGTCATATCCCATCTAGGGTCTCACCCTTTTCATGATATCCTTTAGCCAGGGGTTAGGGTCATCTGGACCCGAATGTCCGTCCAGTGGTCTGAGCCCCTTTTCACTTCCTGCATCATGTGTAACCGTTCAGAGAGATGGGGAATCATCGTGGAAATTGGGGCTAAGGCTGTGTGTGTCTCAGTCGGTCAAGTGCTTGCCTAGTGTGCAGGTAGTTTAGTGTCCATTCTCAGAAATGATACACGGAGTGTGGCTACATGCCTGCAACATTGGTGCTTGGGAGGTTTAAGCAGGAGGATCAGAGTTTAAGACGATCTTTAAGGTCAAGGCTAGCCTAGGCAAAGTAAAACTCTGTCTCAAAAAAAAAAAATACCCCCCCACCTTTATTTTGGTTTTGGAGTTGTTTCAGGAATTCTTTCAACCTAAGTTGGTGACAAGCGTGTTTATTCATCTTTGTAGACAGCCATTCTGCCGCTGCACGTGGCATTCTGAAAGCCCCGTCCAGCACTGAGAGTGAGCCAGGAAGGCATTGTGTTTCTGAAAAGGACCTGCAAGCATCAGTTTGCGGCTGCTTTTGGGCAAACTGATGGAGAGACATAAGAAAAATGTGTCGTTGGCCTAATGCTCGCGCTGCATTACTTTTCTGACTGCACGTTTTTATGACCTTGCTACTTCTTATATTATGGACAGCAATTTCCCTAGGTCCATTGGGTTTTTCTTTCTTTCAGAAAGGGCATCTTTTTTCTCCTCTTTTCATAAGTGTTCCTGGCTGTTCTTTTCATGAGCATCCTTGATGGTTTAATGCAGGCTGTGCCTAACAAAAGCAAGCTTCACTTTCCTCTTCAGGGGATTTATGGTACCCTGAAACCACTTCTGTGATTCCTCGAGGAAGATGCTCAGGTCGTACTGGGGAGCAGGACAGCAGAGGAATTTGAGGATTTTCAGAGAATCCGTTTTTAAGCTACAGAGTAAAGGCACAAACACGACCAAGTACCCAAGACAGAACGCCCACGCTCCTCTCCCAGCAGTTCATTGACTTGGAGTACTCTAGGAAATAGCAGCGTTGGAGCCTAAGAGAATGCTGGAAATGCTGACTCAGGCTCAGAAGAGCGAGAGAGAGAGAGAGAGAGCATCTCTCAAGTCAGACAGTGACATGGTGGCCTAAATACTGTTCAGGCACCAGAGGGACTTACCTTTCTGACATCTGAGAGGGTCCAACTTCCCATTCGCCTTAGAGAGTGGCAAGGAACACGCTTTCCAGACGGCCCTCCAATCATGGCTGAAGAGCTATGGGTCTGACTGACTCTTAACGCTTGACTGAGCAGGCTGCTCCACCTCTCTCAATTTAAGCTATCTCATTTTTGAGCAGAGGCGGTTTGGCATTTGTTTCTCTGACAGTTCTATGGTCTCTGTCAGCTCGGTAATTCTATTCCTTACTTTATGAATGCCGAGCTTAAATATTACTCATTCCAGAGCTTGGTTTGTAGGCCATTTATGGATGTGTGGGGCCTTTTTCCTGTTGGATGAGCAATATATGTGAGATTAGCAATAAAATATGGCATGATAAACAATGCTCCTTAAGCTACTTCACTTGGATCTATATTTGATGTTTACTCTTTCTGCATATAGAACACGTTAAACACTTAAATCTCTGTCAGCGTTTCAGTCTTTGTCACATAGTTTCAATACCGTCAACAACAAGGAATGAACCTCTAGTAATATCAGTTTAACTCAAAGCGGAGTCATGGAGCAGACAAAGGGAGAGGGTCCCTTCGTCCTAGACATTAAGGCCTTGAGTCAACTAGAGTCAGACACAAAAGAAAATGGCATATTTCTAGCCCCTGTCTTTTGATATAAATTCTTTTTAAAATTAGATATTGATTATAGAGTGATTAATCTCTGGAACACATTCAGACTCTTTACTCTTGGTTTGGATAGTGAAGGGAAACATAAAATACAGTGCCGTCATATGTATACATTATTTCCTGGGGCTTTGGATCCCTGTTCAGTTAATCCTCAACAGTTTCTTAGGAGTAAGATTTAGTATTCCCATTTTCAATGTATAGGCATTAAATTCAGTGGGACTCTGACAGCTATGGAGGTATAAAGAATAGTCAGTTCACAAATCCGGGCTCATTCACATATGCTCATGCCCAGGGCACAAGCCCACACCTTCTGGATCAGGTTGAAAAGGGTCTATGGATCTGGAAGGATGTTCCCTCTCCAGTACTTCATGCAAAAGCCATAGAGGTAGAACGGTCACGGTGTTTAGGGTTACACGCCAGCCTGCCACTGAGAAGTGAGACAGTCACTAAACCCTCTCACTTGCTTGGCCGCTGTAATAAACATTCCATATCAAGCACTAGAAAAGAAAACCAACGGGCTGAGTTTGCTTTGGGTCAGTGGAACACAAGCAAAGAGGATGGAGACAGTAAGTCTGCAAGAAGCTAACCTGATATGTCAAATTGCACCCATGTAAGGCTCTGGACATCCTGCCGGATTTACACCTTGAACTGCCATAGGGTCTCTGGAGGTGAGAATATTGATTTCTTATTTGGAAAGTGTTTGTTTGCTTGTATAGAAGATAGATTACTGCAGCAATACATTTGATGCATGTCTGAGTTTTTGTTTTGTTGCAAAATTGACAACGGAAACTTTTACTGAGAATAAAAGGTTCTTACTCTAAGTTTGCTTTATAAAAGGAACACAGACATTCTGGAGAAATCTGACTTTTCTTAGTTAATTGGTCTCAAGAAAGGAATGAATTTTCTGTCCACCAAAAATAAATTTCCCGAAGATTCGATGTGGTAACAAGGGAGAGGACAGAGCAGTGCTCAAGTTCAATGCCATCTGGTTGCCAGAGCATCTCTGTCAACTGGAGATGTGCGGGCTCTGAATATGTGAGGGTACCAAAAGGGAGAAAAAGACTTTGTGAGTTGAGCACTGGCTCACTTCTGTAACCTGTAATCCCAACCCAGGAGAGGCAGGAGGATCACTGCAATTCAATATAGGCCTACAAAGTAAGTCCCAGGATGGATGGCCATCCAGACTGTCTTAAAAATAAGAAAGTGGTACTCTG